TGTCCTCCGGAGCACCAGCAGCTTTGACTTTAAGACAGGAAACTTCCACCTCCAAGTGTGTGTGAAAGCTTCCATGATTCTCTGAGAGTTGGGGATATGGCCTGTGAGATCAGAGAAATGGATCTCTTTTTCCAGTTTCCGAGGCTATCTTGGGGTCTTTGAAGAAAGAAAAAAAGACACTAGGTGCTAAATCTTGACCTTATTTGCAATTATCTGGCTGAGTGCCCTCAAGGATTTGGGACCTTTCCTCAAGAATGGATGTGTGGACAAGAAACCAAAGTATAATATTCACTGCCTCCCCAAACCACTTCAAAATTATAAATAAAATACAGAACAACTTTCATTCATAACCACCACAAATCTGACTGAATAGAATCCCTACAGCTGGAGGACTAAAAATGAAACCACACTGAGTCTGGTAGGATGGGGTAGAGGCATGGAACAGGCTGGTCCGACACCCACATGAGGCATGTTTTAATTGGGAAGGATATCTTAGCTACAAAGGCCCCCATGAGGAGCAAGGGGTCACAGCCCCATGCCAGATCCCCAGCCCAGGGTTCCAGTGTTGGGAAGAGAAGTCCCCATAACTTCAGGCTGTAAAAACTAGTGGGAATTATGGCTGAGTGACATAAAGGCTGATGGACTCCCAGGCAATTCCTCTTAAGGGGTTAGTGCACAGACTTACTCAAATCCTAATATCCAGCACTAGGATAACAGCTTGAAAGGATTCAGGGACATACAGGGAAGAACTAACTTGTGTGGCATGAGGGAAAGAATTTGGGGACAGCTTTCTCCCAGACCAGCAGTTTGCTGCTCTGTTGACTAATGAGTTTGCCGACCACTGGATAGGGGCTTAATTACAAGGAACAACAACAGCCTGTAATTATTGGAATTGAAAGTCTAGGTCAGTGGTTGGCAAACTCATTAGTCAACAGAGCGACAAACCGTGGCTTGTGAGCTACATGTGACTCACAAACCACAGTTTTCTGACCACTGTTCCAGACAAAAGTGTTGACATCTCCCCCTAACAGAGCTGACTGGCAGACCATATCTGAGTCTCCATCAATGGTCCACACTGTTCAACCCATCTTGATGATTCTCTGAGATCCCACCCAATTTGCAGCCCCACCCAAACTATTTATAGTGGCTTTTCCATAGAAATGGCCTATTCTGGCTCAGGCTTCAGACTTTCCTAAAATATCTCAAACAAGCATCATCTGGATTCAGTGTGCCTCATAACTCTCAATAAGTGGCTCCACATAAAAAAGAAGGAATTCTCATCATTTGCAGCAACCTGGATGGAATTGGAGAACATCATGCTGAGTGAAATAAGCCAATCAATGAAAGAGAAATACCACATGACCTCACTCATTGGTGGACAATAAAGCTCTTTATGAACTGATGAACCAAGAGACAGAGATAGAGAAAGTAAAGCAACAGGCAGACTGTCAAATTACAGTGGGGAGGGGAGGAAGATCTGGGGGAAATAATTGATCAAACGAAGGACTTGTATACATGCATATAAGTACAACCAATGTTCATAAAACTCTGGGGAGGGAGGGGATGGGTGGGAGGGAGGGAGGGGGGTAAAAAAAAATCAATAAAATATGAAAAAAAAATAAAAAAATAAAAAATAAAAATAAGTGGCTCCAGGCCCAGTACTAGCAACAACTTGCTAACATGCACAGCTTGACCTCTCTGGGCACCTCCAAGCCCATCACAAATAGCAGCCATCTACAGGTTGGCTCCAGGCAGGGCATAGGCAGTGACTGACTTTGTACCTCCTGAAAGGCCCCAGAGCCAGAGCACCTAGTGGACAGCTTCAGACTACACCATATTACAACTCTACCACATCTATGAGTGACACACTCAAAGGATGGAGTTAGCAAGTGCCAAAGCCCCACTGAAGCCAGTTCTGCTCCATAGGGGTATCTCTTGAATTGAAGCTTTCCCACTGTCCTCACAGCCAATTGGCCTGGGGGTCAATTCTTCCCCATGATGCCAACAGCAATCAAGGCTCAACTACAACAGAACTATGTACACAGCTCACAAAAGGGCACACCTAGAGTGCCCAGCTTAGATGAGACTTGGAAGGCTGTGCCACTAGGCCCTATAGACACCTACCACACAAGTCCATAGCATCAGTTCCAGGAGACATAGCAGTTCTACCTAATATATAGAAACAAATACAAGGAAGCAGCCAAAATGCAGAGACAAAGAAATATGTCACAAATGAAAGGACAAAAGAAATCTCCAGAAAAAACACCTAAATAAAGTGAAAGCAAGCAAATTACTAAATACAGAGCTCAACTGAAACTGGTTTGGCTCAGTGGATAGAGCATCAGTCTGTGGACTGAAAGGTCCCAGGTTCAATTCCAGGCAAGGGCATGTACATTGGTTGCAGGCACATCCCCAGTAGAGGGTGTGCAGGAGGCAGCTGATTGATGTTTCTAGCTTTCTATCCCTCTTCCTTACTCTCTGTAAAAAATCAATAAAATCTATTTTAAAAAATAATAAATAAATAAATAAATAAATAAATAAATAAAGAGATCAAAATAATGATAATAAGGTTGGTCAATGAAATAAATGAGAGTTTCAAGGGACTTAGTGAGAATATCAAGGAACTTAGTGAGAATTTCAAAGAAATAGTGAGAACATCAAAGACATGAAAAAGGACCAGTCAGAAATGAAGGCTACACTAAAAATGAAGAATAATTTATAGGATATCAAAAGTATAGTAGAGGATGCCAAGAATCAAATCAGTGATTTGTAATACAAAGAAGCAAAAAACACCCAATCAGAAGAACAAAAAGAAAAAGAATCCAAGAAAATAAAAATAGTGTAAGGAGCCTCTTGCACAACTTCCAGCATACCAACATTCACATCATGGGGGTACCAGGAGGAGAAGAGAGGGAGAAAGAAATTGAAAACCTATTTAAAGAAATAATTATTAAAAAAAAAAAAAAAAAAAAAAAAACTTCCCCTACCTGGTGAAAGAAAGATATACAAGTCCAGGAAGCACAGATAGTTCCAAACAAGGTGAACCCAAAGAAGCCCACATTAAGACACATCATAATTAAAATGCCAAAGACAAAAAGAGAATCTTAAAAGCAGTAAGAGAAAAGCAGTTACCTACAAGAGAATCAGTATGACTGTCAGCTGATTTCTCAACAGAAACTATGCAGGCCAGAGGGATTGGGAAAAAATATTCAAAGTAATGAAAAGTAAGGACCTAGATTACTCTACCCAGCAAACCTATCATTTAGAATTAAAAGTCAAATAAAGAACTTCACAGACAACAAAAAGCTAAATGAGTTCATCACCACTAAACTAGTATTACATGAAATGTTGAAGGGTCTTCAAGAAGAAGGAGGAGGGCCGAAACCAGTTTGGCTCAGTGGTAGAGCGTTGGTCTGCAGACTAAAAAGTCCCAGGTTTGATTCCGTTCAAGGGCATGTACCTGGGTTGTGGGCACATCCCCAGTGGGGGTGTACAGGAGGCAGCTGGTCGATGTTTCTCTCGCATCAACGTTTCTAGCTCTCTATTTCTCTCCCTTCCTCTCTGTAAAAAATCAATAAAATATATTTTTTAAAAGAAGAAGGAGGAGGAGGAAGAAGCTAAAAATATGAACAATAAAATGGCAATGAATACATATCTATCAACAATTGAATATAAATAAACAAAATCAAAATAAACAAAAAGTCTAATGGATAAAATAAACTGGAGAATAAAATAGAATCAGAGGCATGGAAACATGGAATAAAGTAATGAATCTCTGAGGGAAGGGGCAGTGTAGTGTGAAGAGTTTAACCAAAGAACTTATATACAAATATACATTATCGAAGGACTCAGACAATGGGGGTAGGAGGAGATCTTGGTGGAGGAGGGCAATGGGGAGGGGAATAAAGGATAGGACATCTATAATACTCTCAACAATAAAACATATATATAATATGAATGGATGTTGGGACCAGAGACATAAAAGCCTCTCTTTTCAGTATGACATTTTACCACCTCCTCTTGAATGGAGCTCCTTCCCTTGGCAGTCAGGTGTCCAGTGAACTTTGAGGGGCAGCCTGAACCGAACCCACTCCCTAGACCTAGAGATGTCTTAAGAGAATTTCTGTCCCTTCCTAGTCCTTGAGTATGACCTCCCTCCCCAACTTCCTACACCAGAAGTTCAGAGTCCACTCCAGGGATGAGAACAAAAAATTAGATGACTCAGAAACAGCCAGCAAGTGCTGAGTGGGTAGTAAAATAGAAGCTGTGTTTTGAATTCTCCAAGATGTGTTTCCCCAACTGCCCTGGTTAAGAGGTGGACCTGGGGTGAACCAGGTGTCCTAGTTTTGTGTCAAATATGCTAGCCGTGCTAGATTTGCCCTAAGTCTCCTTGTCCTACCTGTGTTCTAAATGTGTGTCAGTGTGCTCAGTCCTAACTTAAGACACCTTCAGAGCCTACCTTACTTGGTGGGTATGAGAGGATTACCTGAGCCCACACAGACAGCCCATATAGTGCAGAGACCATATAGTGTAGAGGTTAAGAGCATGAACTTGACCCAGATGACTTGCAAGCTGTATCACCCTGAGCACACTTCACCCATCTGTGACTCAGTTTTCATACTTACACAGCTGAAATAATAGGGTTATTGAAACAATGAAAGGAGCGAGCAGTGCAGGGGACCCTGCAAAGGCTGTCATCATGAGGCCTATGTGTGGCTCTTCCCATGGCTGTCCTATATTAGGGAGATGTTGTCTCCTGGACTTTAAGCTCTGATTCCAGGTATGTCTCATTTATGTACCTGGTATCTTTACATGTGAAGCTGTGGGGAGAGAAAGGGCCTCCTGTGTGCCTGTGTGAAGCCAGGTCCTGAATCTTAAGAGCTTTTGAATGAGAGATAGAGGCAGAAGGGGAGGTGGTCAGAGCAGTACTTGCCAGGCTGTGCTCGTCATCTAGCACTGCCTAGTATGGCCCTCTCACATCCCTATGTTCTGTGTGACAGTGCAGGGACTTCACAGCCCACACAGGCTACGAGATGCTGCTGCAGCGGCTGCTGGATGGGAGGAAGATGTGCAAGGATGTGGAAGAGCTGCTGAGGCAGAGGTGAGCACCAACAGGGTCAACAGGGTCAGTGAGGGCAGGTGTAGAAGGGAGGCTACCCTCCACCTAGTTCTGGAAAATGACTGAGGCTGCCCATCTCAGCCAAGCTGCAGTCAGGAAGAGGCTGGTGGGGATAAAGTTGAAGAGATTAGCCAAAGAATATATAAGTATAGCCCATGGACACAGACAACAGTGTGGTGAAGGCCAAGGTGGGTGAAGGTGGGCAAAGGATGGGGAAAGTGGGGGACATCTGTAATGGTGTCAACAACAAAAAAAAAAAAGTAAAAAAAAAAAATAACAACCATTTTTTCCTGATATTGAAAATATGAGTACATGAAAAATATTCAGCAAAGTGGACCATTTTTCTTAAAACGTGTTGCTTTTTCCTATATTGTATTATGGCACATTTCATACATTAAAATTATTTTCCTTTAAAAAAAAAAAAAAAAAGTCATGACTGGCTTTCCTGTGTTTTCCCCAATGTGGGCCTTCCCCATGTGAGCAAATAATATGTACTCTTCAGATGTACCTGTATTTGGCTGACATTTATTTAGAATGAGTGTGGGGAACCTTTATTCTACCAACAGGCATTTCGATGTTTATAACACTATTCGTGGTCCTTACAAAATTATCAACTTAAAAATTATATTGCTATGAAAAAACTCCTAGACTTATTGAATTCTGAGTCCTGCTTGCTGTTGCCTTGGCAGGGCTAGACCAAGTTGATAGGGGCTTCAGGCTGGACATTCCCCAGATTTGGAGAAAGTGCTGGGGGCTTAAATTCTGAAGGAGGAGTCTGGAAAACCAACCTGCTCACAGATGCTAAGAGGGTGGCTTCTCTGGTCCTGTCACAGACTTTTGAGAGATCTGAAGACATTTGAGGGAGCCATGGCCAGCAAAACTGGAGGAGATGCAGCGGCCATGTTTTGTTCTTGCAGGGCCCAAGCAGAGGAGCGGTACGGGAAGGAGCTGGTACAGATCGCCCGGAAAGCAGGCGGCCAGACAGAGATCAAGTAAGAGGTCTCAGGCCCTGGACTTCCTTCTCCATTTCCAGGCACTTTCTAGGCATTTAGATAAGGTTTAGAGTGGACTGGGGATGGCCAGGGAGGGTCTGGGTGGCTTCCAGGGCAGGGGTGCCTGGAGGACACCGCTCTTGGGTATTGAGAGGTCAGAATCTGTGTATGGGAGAAAATCCAGTGGTCTGGGTGGTGGAAAGGTCCTGGGCAGGAGGGCAGGGGCCATCTGTCCTCAAGCACTTGCAGCATAACTATACAACCTCCTCCAAAGTCCTGAGAGCCATGAGGGGCAGGTGATAGGACTTCCATGTGTTACTGAGCCCTCTACAGTGTTGGCTCAGCCTAGGCTGCAAAGTAAGGACACACATGCATTCTACTACCAGCTCCTCACCCTCCAGCTGTGTAATCATAGTCTGGTCACTGACATTCTCTGTGCCTGTTTCCTCGTCATTGAGTCAGGATAATAATCCAACCTTCCTCAAAAGATTAAAGGAGTCCAGGGGCATGTATAGAGCACCTACTACATGCCATGCCCCACACTAAGACAGGGGATTCAAAATTTTAAAAATAAATAAAATAAAGGACCCCACCATCCTGAAGCCAGAGTCTAGTAGACTGAGGATGATTTCATCTTCCCTCCCTTTAGAACCTTCTAATGTAGGGGTTCTCAATTTTTTTAATGCCTCAACTCTTTAATACAGTTCTTCATGTTGTGGTGACCCCCAACGATAAAATTATTTTCATTACTACTTCATAAATGTAATTTTGCTACTGTTAATGAATCGTAATGTATCTGTGTTTTTCTGATGGTCTTGGGCTCTACAGCAGCGGTTCTCAACCTGTGAGCCACCGCTAGCAGGGTCGCCTAAGACCATCAGGGAACTGATATTTACATTACAATTCATAACAGTAGCAAAGTTATAGTTATGAAATAGCAACAAAAATAATTTTATGGTTGGGGGTCACCACAACATGAGGAACTGTATTAAAGGGTCGTGGCATTAAAAAGGTTGAGAACCATTGCCTATCACCTCCATGAAATTCTCACACCTATTCTAGCTTTACCTAACAATCAGGATCTTGGTTTTGATCAGATCACTCCACTCCCACACCAACCTGGAGGGCTCTTTGTGGAAAGAGTGAATGACAGCCTGGGTAACTTCTGTATTGTGGACATTTGTGGAGGTATATTTGGGGTTGGCACCTCTGGGAAAGGTGGCCTGACTGTTTAGCTTGGGGGCTGGCACCTCCTCCTATAGAGGGAGCTCCCTAACCTCCCCATGGCCAAGATCCCCAGGTCCCACAGATGTTCATTCTCAGCCCCTTGGAGGGCAGGCAGAGGGCTGGGGATGCACAGGTTTGGTGGAGGCAGAGACAACAAAGCCAGGAAGTTAAGTGATCCCAGAAATAGCTCAGCGAGAGCCAAAAGGTCAGAGCTGATTGGCCTCCCTTACCTCTGCTGCCTAAAGAAGAAGCATTTCTGCATCACCCCTGCCCTCAGACTGGCCAGAAACCTCACTGGGGTCTGGAGGATCAACCACATACATTAAAGAGAAGTTATTCCTGTCTTCAAATTATTTTTCTCATACATCTCCTTCACATATTAAATCAGCAAGCATCCACCGGGCAATGGAGAATGCACAAATAAGACCTGGTCCCCACAGTCAAGAGATCTCCATAAGCCCTTTCAATGCATTTTAAAGACAACATTAGGAAGGCAGAGGAGTGTATCAATATTGCTTCTAGCCCTGCAGAAAGCTCACCTTGACTCTCCCTTCCAACCCCCAGGCCTTTGCTCTGACTGTTGCCCCCTATCTCTTCCCTGTCCAGTCCTACCTGCACTTTGAGCTCTGAAATATCAACTCCCCCAAAAACTGTACCTCCTCCCCCACTTGCTCATCCTGTGTGCTGGGCATGTGCTCCCAGAAGCCGCACAGGGTAGAGGTTCAGGAAATGAAGAGGAATCAAGGTGGACAGGGTTGGGACCAATTTCCTTTAAGCCCCTGTGTGGTTACCTCAAGTAAGGACAGCTGCTGAAGGAAGATCGACTTATACCATTACATTCCCACATCACCCCCACTTATCATAGCCTAAAACGCTGTGGTTTTCCCATCAGGAGAGGGTTTTGTTGTTGCTGTTGTTTCCATAAGTTCTCTTCCTCTGAGGTCAGAGAATGAAGACATCACTAAAGATGTTGGAGAGAGATAGGCAGGCCCTGTTACCAGAAGGGGCTCTTTGACATCAACTCACTTCAGGCCCAGCTTCCAGCAAAGGGAGGTGAGAGGAGCCACTCTTACCAGCTAAGAGGCAGCAGCCTCCTGTGAGCTGGTAGGCAGTGGGTAGGGAAGCCAAAGCAGGGGCCTGAGGTGGGTTATGCCTCATGGTGGGATGGTTGCAAAGGAAATATTTATATTGGAAGTTCATGCTGTGTTTAAGCATAAAATCTCAGGCTGAGCATCCTGAGAGCCAAGTCAAAAGGGGCATCTGGAGGAGATATACACAAGGATAGCAGTGACTAATAGCAGAGGGTAGAGGTCTGAATGGGGTTCCTGCCCTTGACATGCAATGAAGATGCAATAAAGGAGAGTTCAAAATCTTGGAAATGATTTTTCTGAATGGCAAAGGGAAGAACCTGGAGATGATAGAAAAGCTAAGAGAAACCATCTTTGATGGGTCTCATGGGGAAGAAAAAAACTTAAAATGGAGGAGAGCTGTGAGGATTGAATAATTTAGGCCAGCAGCTCTCACATTTGAATGGACATCAGCAATACCTGAGGCTTAACACAGTATTCTGGGCCCCACCATGAGTTTCTACCTCAGGACTGGGATGGAGCCTGGGAATCTGCATTTTCAACAAACCCCCACATAATGTTGATGCTGCTGATGTGCAAACCACACTTTGAAATTCACTTAGTTTGGGCTAGGGTCTGTCATTGAGTAGACCCCGGGTCCTGCCAGTGTGCTGCATCTGCTCAGCCTCAGTTTCCCTGGCTGTCCAATGGGACGAAGGAGTCCCCTGGAAGCCTGCCTTGCATGGATTGCTATTAGATGCAGACAAGAGAGCACCATCTGGGGACCTGAGAAAGGCTTGGCCAAGGGCATCTGCGAGATGCATCCAGGACAGAACACGTCCCTGTTGCCTCTTATTGTGGCTCCAATAAGCCTGGCCATGCTCTGGCCTCAGTTTCCCAGAGAGCGGGCAAACTCTAACATGGAACACTGGAAATATAGCTCAGGTTAGGTTCAGGGGCCTGGGGGACCCCCAGGACTGCTGGGGTATACAGTTGTGGACTCAGAAAAGGGCTGCACAACAATATCTGGATCCCAACAGAGATGCTTTATAGATATAAATTCATTTAATCCTCACAACTATCCTGTTTGTGTTATTATTATCCCCATTTTACAAAAATAGACACAGATACAATTAACTTGTCCAAGGTTAACTTGTCCTTGTTAGGTTGCCTGGCTCTAGCGTCTGCATGTGAAAATCCAGCACAAAAGCCCCTATTCAGGGCCTGCTGCATTCCTATGCTGGGATTCCAAATCACCTCTCTCCTGCACGGAACAGGGAGCTCGCCCCTCTGAAAGCTGATGTGCACTCTGCCCACCCACGCTGTTTCTGACCCAAAGAGCACTCTGTCTCATGGTGCCCCATTATCTATCAGCAGACAGAATTGGGTCCTGACTGGGTTCCAACATCTTTACTTAGGCCTCAACTTGGTTCATGGTTCTGGGTAAGAGCCCCCTCAGCAGGGCTGCCAGATAAAATACAGTACTCCCATTTAAATTTGAATTTCAGATAAATAACAAGAGCTTTTTAAAAGTAAGTATGTTCAAATATTAATGGGGAATACATATTAAAACTGTATTAGTTGTTTAATCTAAGTTCAAATTTAATTGCAGTCCTGTATTTTTATTTGCTCCATCTGGCAACCCCTACCCTCTGGTGTCTTCCCCTACTTTCCATGCCCAGTACCAGCCTCTTCCCTTCCTGCTCTCCCTGCTGCCCACCCTGCTGCCTCATGCCTCCTTCTTCTGGGTTCTCTCAGGCACCTCAAGTTCAGCACACCATAAAATAAACTACTTATCTTCCTTCCCAGGTCCCCTCAGAGGTGTCACCAGTCTCCACTGAGCCACCCCAGCCAGGCTCCAGAAATAGCCTCCCACTGTCCTCATCTGAACATCCTGTTCTCTTTGCTGCCTCCCCCCATTTCTCTCCTCCTTCATGCCTTCCCTGCTTGCCCCCTCCCATCTAGCTTCCTCCAAAATATCCTCCAGGCCAGCTGCCTAAATCCAGGTCTAAACCTTGCCTTCTCCTACTTCAGCCAGGAGAAGGGCTCCAAGGAGGAAGGAAAGGGGCCCTGAGGACATGCAGAAGCCAGGATCATTCCCCAGTGGGGAATCTGATTGCTTTATAATTTCCAAAGAAAGAGCTTTGCCTTCTAGAAATCCCAGCTCCCTTGGGTCTAGGTCAGTGTATGTGAATGAGTGACTTAGGGCCTTCCCACCAAAATAAAGTCCCTGGGGCCAGGTGGGACTTCCAGTTCCACTGTATTATCCTCCTGCTGACCCTGGCCTCTCTGTTTTGCAGCTCCATGAGGGCCTCCTTTGACTCCCTGAAGCAGCGTAAGTCCCAACTATCTTCTTCCCTAGGCTGTAGGGAACAGGACTTCTGGGACCATAAACAAAGGTGGATGGATTCTGGCCTGGAGAGGAGTTTAGCCTGCACACAGGTCTGTGGGACTAACGAAGGATTTGGGACGACAAAAGCTAGGTTAGGTGGGGTGAATGTGTTTGTGGCTGACACCCATCTGGTCTGATATGGGACCAATGTCTATACTCTGCCCTCAGAAATGGAAGACATTGGAAACTCCCACATACAGCTGGCCCTTGCCCTGCGTGAGGAGCTCCGCAGCCTTGAGGACTTCCGAGAGAGGCAGAAGGAGCAGAGGAAAAAGGTGAAGCAGGTGCTGGGATGTTCCTCCATCACCAAGACCCCAAGTGGGAGGTGGTGATCTTCACTCTGGAGGTGGCAGGGGATGGACACTATGTGAATGAGTGACTTAGGGCCTTCCCACCAAAGGCCCATGTATGTGAGTGAGTGACCTAAGGACTTTCCACCAAAATAAAGTCTCTGGGGCCAGAGAGCCCATAGAGTATGGGGCAATACCCCAGGTTTGTGGGTGAGGTTGATTTGAAGATAAAAGGGAAGGGCTCAGTTCGCAGGCCTAGGAGCTCCCTGGGGGCCTTCCCTGAGCCATCAGAAAGAGGAGAAGATATTTGTCTTGTTGACCATCCTACCACAGCAAACTGTAGAGGGACAGTGACAGCTTGGAGTAATCCAAAGAAAGCACACTAAATTGGGGTGTCACCCAAAGACTGGTCCTGAGCCCAAAGATCCAAGCTGTTCTTCTGGGAGAAAAGCAGACCCAGAGGCAGTCACTGGCCACTCTGCATGACTACCCAAGGCTGAGAGGGCAAACAGAGCCTACTATGAGTAGGGGGTGCCATGCTTACTTTAGCATCCACATTACTTCTCACCCAGGTGTAGGGCATGGCTGTTCCTAGATGGAGGAACTGCATGGAAAGGAAGTGAGGCTCTGCATGGGAGGTATGCCAGCAGAAGTTGAAGGCTATGTGTCAGGAAAGCTCCAGTGGTGGGGTGAGAGGTGAGCTTGGTGATCTCTGTGTCCCAGAGTCTCCTCCAAAACTTGAGACTGATTGGCTGAGCATATGGCCTGCTGGGAAGACAAGTGAGGACACATGCTCAGATTCTAGGGTCTTAGTGATAAGGATGGTATTCTGGACAGGGAGGGAGACATCAGCACACAGAAACATTTCTTACTTGGAGAGAAAGTATTCTTGTGAAATATATATATATATATATATATATATATATATATATATATATGAAATGGAAAAGTCCATACAACTGAGCTGTAAAGGAGAAAAAGGTGTCAGCTTATTGTTGGGGCTAGGCTGGGCTTGGGTGTCCTCATCCAGCTACTTCCCCTCTCTGTGCCTCAGTTTTCTTCTTACAAGATGGGACACTTATTCCCTCTGCCTAAGCTTTGGGGATCCAGACCAGGCCCCTGTTAGTCTTCGCAGATAGGGCACCAGCTCCAATTAGTGGCTCTGGCCACAGAAATGCAATGTGGCTGCACTCCCTGTCTGCCCATCTGGTCAGGCAGGGTCTCAGGCTTTAGGGGTTCTTAATTTGGGTTCCTGGGCAGACAGTGGGTCCCCAAAGCTAGCTCCAGAAGCCTGTCCTATCTTGAGATGCTGAAACAGATGACCTCTTGGAGAGGAGACTTGCCTGTAGAGCATGCAGAGCACTTTCTGTGACAGTGAGGCCCCAGCCTGGCTATTTAAGCTCTCCTGTGGCCAGAAGGTCTATATGTTTGCAAAAGCTATTTTGGACAGACGAACATCTTCCCCAGATCTGCCAGAACCTCCACAAGTTGTTAACTGTGATACAGTGTTAGGGGAAGTCTGCGTGGGCATGTGTGTGCACATGCCTGGGCATGTGCGTATGTGTGTGGGGAGTGGGTGTAGGCACACATGTGTGCACACCTATGAGCATACTCATGTGTCTCAGTGTGTCTATATGTGACCAGGTGGCTTGCCTGAGGTCTCTCCACTGGCACAGGCCCTACTGTGACCTCAGACACAAAATGGCTCCATCTCCAACATGAGGGTCATTTCATTTCCGATTCTTCTCATAGCACATACCAATTCTCTGTTTAGGCTGAGTTTTGTCTTCTCTATTTGAACAAGCTGCCTGGGAGGAGAGTTGAGGGTACAATGGCCTGTGTACCTGCGTGGGGTCATGACTAAGTATGAATAGGCCTGATAGGGGAACATGAGAGTTTGCTTGTGTATACTTGTGCATGGTGTCTATGGACACTCTGTGAGTGTGTATGTGAAGGCCTGTGTATGCAAGTAGGAACAGTGGGAGCAGTAGGAGCATGGGGGGCTGTTAGTGTGTACTGTATGCATGTCATGTGGAACTAAAGCCTGTACACAGTGTGTGACAGCTGTGAATGTGCAGAGGCTTGTGAGTGAGGAGTGTGTGTGTGTGCGTGCACGCGTGTGTGTGTGTGTGTGTGTTGTGTGTGTGTGTTGTGTGTGTGTATACACATGTAAATTGGATATTCTCCAGCTAGAGAGCAAGTCCTGGCTCTAGTCTGCAGCCAATGAGAGAACACAGTGGCATACACATGTCCTGGTCTTCTCTAGCTTTCTGTTCTGAGAAGCAATTGTGAAAGAACAGACAGTGGGAGAGGGAGGACATCTTGTCACTATGCCTTTCAGAGCTGGGGGAGGAGGAAAGATACTTCCCTACTCATGTGTCTCAGTGTGTTTGTATGTGACCAGGTGGTTTGCCTAAGGTCTCTCCACTGGCACAGACCCTACTAAATGATCCCAGGGAAGCCCCATTCTCTTGGCTTAGGGGACTATCCAGAGGCCACAGCCCCCCACTAAGAGCTTCATGTCCCCTGCAGTATGAGGCTATCATGGACCGTGTCCAGAAGAGCAAGCTGTCACTCTACAAGAAGGTCATGGAGGTGGGTGCAAGGCTCTTGGGCTGTGAGGAATGCAGAACCCAAAGTGTGGACCCCAGGAGAGCTGGGATGGGCACCTGGGAGAGGGCTTGCCTCAGATCTTTATCCAGAAACATCCACGTGCTCAGGACTGCACTGGGTACCAAAGCCCCATATGCATCCGCCCTGGCTCTGCTCAGGGGAGACTCTTGATAGATGGGCAGGTGGTCAGTCCCAGACAGTGGCCCACAGTGTGATCCATGCTGTCAGCTCCAGACTCCAAGAGTAGAGGGAGAAGGAACCCCTGAGCTGTGTCTCTTAGAATACTGGGTGAGGGGAAAAAAGGCTCCACGAGAGGGGATAGCATGTGTAGAGGCTACTAATATCATGAGGATGCATGGTATTTTCAGAGACTTATTGGTGGTTTAATGTGACCTCCCCTTTGAAAAGGCTGGGCCTTTGGGCAGGGCTGTCCCCGCTGGGTAGGGGTCTGGGAACAAGATCCCCTCTCCCTCTTATTCTGGATCTTCAGATCCCTGTCCCTGGGGAGGAGGCCCCTTCTCCTCCATAGCCCCCAACAGAAAGAAGGGAGACTGGGCTGAGGGAGCCTCACTCTGGACCCCCGCAAGTCACACCTTGCATACCTCCAGTCCAAGAAGACATATGAGCAGAAGTGCCGGGACGCAGATGACGCCGAGCAGGCCTTCGAGCGTATTAGCATCAATGGCCAACAGAAACAGGTGGAAAAGGTGTGTGAGGGAGGCCACTGAGGCCATATGCTGGGAAAGGGTAGGTAAGGCAGGGAAGGTAGACACCCTCCCCCCCAGGCAAGGTCTGCATATGGAACATGCTAGCTGCCCACCCCTCTGAACCTCACATTTCCATCCTAGAATCTTGGGGCATGAACTGACAGGGCCAGCTTGACCCCCCTTTGCCATCTCCAGGCTACACCAAGGACCAATTCCTCAAAGCAAGCCCTCTGCAGCCCAGGCCCAGAAATCACAGGGCAATGCGAGCCGAGACTAACTCTCTCATATCCCTTGGAGAAGGGTGCAGTGGGCCCATATCACAGAAAGGAAACTAAGGCCCAGTAATGGTGAGTGACTTGTCCAAGGTCTCAGGGCCAGGAAGCAACAGAGAAAGAATCCAAACCTAGGTCATCCAGAGCCCAAGCTCATGACTACCGTGTTTCCCCGAAAATAAGACATCCTCCGAAAATAAGACCTAGCGCATGGAAAAATAAGACATCCCCTGAAAATAAGATCTAGCGCATCTTGGGAGCAAAAATTAATATAAGACACTGTCTTATTTTCGGGGAAACAGGATACTCTGGTCTCTGGGCCAGAGTGGAGGTAGCAGAGCTACCAGAGCCCAAGAACATCATTTGCCCATTGCATATACAGGAAAACTGAGGCCAGAGAGGACAGGGGCTTGAGGGTAAACTTAGGGGCAGCAAGTTGGTGGCCAGAGCCCAATTCCCAACCAGTAGATTCAGCACTGGCCACATGGAGCCTCTGGTCCTGGCTCCTGATCTGTAGTTCTCTTTCTAGGTCCTGACATCTAGTTTTCATGGGCTACAAGTTTCTGTTTTTACTTCTTTTTTATTAAAACCTTTTTTATTGTGGTCCTTTTTGGGGTGAAGTTGGAGTAAAAGCTCACAAGTTGGCTCTTGATTGTCCCTTGGGTGCTCAGGGAGGGGAATGACAGAGGCACTTCAGGAGGCTGGGTGTCCTAAGCTGGGGCTGGGTGACTCCAGGACAGAGGTTCAGCACTGCTTTTTCTTTGCCTCCTCAGAGCCAGAACAAAGCCAAGCAGTGTAAGGACTCAGCCATGGAGGCAGGTACGTGGCCCACCTGTCTCCTTAGACCTAGGTGGTGGATTGTACAGACCCTCCCATGCTTTCCTACCCTGGGGATATACACACTCACAAGTGCCTACAGTGTCACAAGCTCATCACTCTCACTTCCATACTTATGCAAGTAAAATAAAAACATTCATGTTCTCTCATTTGCCAAGACTATTCTTGGTGCTTTTCATGTTTATTAACTAATTTGCACAACAATCCTATGAGGTGACTGATATTATTATCCCTTTTTTTTAAGCAGTTGAGGCACAGAGAGGTTAAGTAACTTGCCCAAGGTCACAGAGTTAATAGTGGTATTGACTACATTCCAAACCAAGTCTTCAGGCTCTAGAGCACAGGACTTTCACAGTCACCATCATGGCAGACAGATCCACTCAAACCTCTCCTGTCTGTCTGTCTGTCTGTCTGTCTCTCTCTCTCCCTCTCTCTCTCTCTCTCTCTCTCTCTCACACACACACACACACACACACACACACACACACACACACACACACACTGCCTTTTCTGGGTCTGTCTCCTCTGTCCTTCACCTGATGCCAAAACCCCAACGCCACTTGTTTCTACCAGCATAACTCTTAGGTCAGAAAACTCACTCTGCTTCCTTCTCCTGGAAAAGATCTCCCTTTGGCTCTGCCTCTCCCAGGACCCAGTTGTTCCCATGACCAGGGGATGTGTGAACCCCAGAGTTCTGGTCCCCAGCCAACAGCCACCATACTCCTCTCTACTCTCCTTTTGTTCTGCCCTTGGTTTCTTATCTGGAAAGTTAGAGGGTGGGACTGAGGGATGACAAAACACTTGGACTCTGACTTTGGATATATGTGCTCTACTCCAGACTTGGGCAACACAGAGCACAGCAGAGAGCTAAGAGTCACCCCAAAAGGAGAAGTACCATAGTGGGTGGCCCTGACAAGTGTCCAGATGAGGTACCAGCAGCCAGGGCAGGTCTAGCTTGGGAAGAGGGCACTCTGAGCAGGAGCATTGCAAGAGCAAAGGGGTGAGCAGTGGAAGCGCTTGTCTAGGCTGTTGGCCTCCCTGAAGGCTACTTGTGTTTCTAGAGCGGGTGTACAGGCAGAACATTGAGCATCTGGAGAAAGTGCGGGGCGAGTGGGAGCAGGAGCACCAAACCACCTGTGAGGTGAGTGACCCTGGGCGTTAGTTTCCCCAGCTACAAAATAGGAAAGACATGCATCCTTGCTCCAGCCACTTCATGGGGGAAATAAGGCAGTGGGGAAGGGGGGGAGGCCTCATTCCTTCATTCATTCACTCATGCACTCACTCTCTAGTCCCCTGCTGGGTCTCTAACCCAGGGAGCCCACTGCCTGGCTGTTTGCCCTGGCCTCCTTTGTTTCAGGCAGGTATCCTTCACTCCTTTTTGTTGAGGCCAAAACTGAGGCTCAGAAAAAACCCATAGCTTCCCTGTACCCCTCAGGACTGCCCCTCTCACAATGCCTTCCCGGGGCCTTTCCAGTGTGAGGTAGGGGTTGGAGAGAGGGTGGAAGCAGGAACCTCACAAGGAACTTCCCTACCAAAAGCCTGAGGTGCTGGCACAGATGTGGGGATGGAGACCACCAGCAAGGGTCTTTTGATTAAACTTGGCTTTCAGCAAAGGGAGTCTGGCTTGTCAATCCCAGCTGAGCTGTTGAGTGGGGCCCAGCCTGGCCTGCCTCTGCAGCTCCCTTCTCACTTCTCATCTCCCTCCCTCCCATACCAGGCCTTCCAGCTTCAAGAGTTTGACAGGCTGACCATCCTCCGAAATGCCCTATGGGTGCACTGCAACCAGCTCTCCATGCAGTGTGTCAAGGATGATGAGGTCAGGGGGCCAAGGACAGGGAGGGTACAGAGTGACTTGGGAGGGGAGGGGCATAAAGAGAGGGCAACAGTATGCCCAGGTTCCTCTGAGTCTGTCAGCAAACACCTTAGGCTTCAACCTCTGCGCTCAGGACCCCAAGGACAGGGAAGTCAGTATTGCATGGGGTTATGGCCTTGTTGCTGGAAGACTGTGCTTTTGTGAGTTCCATGGCATCTGCCTTCTTTCCTCACCCCTAGTCCAAGATCTTGACCCTACTCTAAGCACGTGCTCTTTCTGCCCTTGCTAGGAAGAGAGGTGGAAAGAGGTCTGCGGAAAGGCTGGAGGATGCTGGGCTGCTCTGATCCAGCCCTCCCCTTTGTAGGAACTGAGGTCCAGTCCCTTTTCTGCCCCCCCAGACATTTGTTGGGTGTCCTGGTTCCCATACTTAGCTAGCTGAAGGTGCTGGGTGATTGGGGTGGGACCTACCCAGCAGAAAGGGGCCAATACCACTCTACCAGGGTCTCTGACCACTGTTAATGTAGCTCCAGAGCCATGAACTCTCTTGAGGCAGCTCTGACTCCAAGGTGCTCACTGCTGTTCTTTACCTGCTATCTCCTCCATGCGCTGTGGGGTTTTGGGTCCTTTGACCCAAATGACTTGAACCCACCTGGGTGGCCTCCTATCGAAGAGGAAGGAAGATGGGTTCTGGATCCTGCCATACTGGAATGAAGCCCAGATGCACTGAATTCTTGCTCTGTGACATTTGGCAAGTCACTTTCCTTCTGAGTTTCCTCATCTCTAAAATGGAGGGAATAATATCTACCATAGAAGAAGTGAGTTAAGTCCCTAGCATAGGATCTTGTGCATAAGAGGTGCTCAAAAACCAGGAGATGCCATCAGCCAGGACTCTGACCCCTCAGGAAGGCCTGAGACAGATACACCGTAAGAACCTTCTGAATACAGACATTGTGCTGTGCATAGAAGGCCTGTGAGGAGGCTGATGTGGTGGAAGCCCCTGGCCAGAGTTCAGACTCATAGAGAAAGAAGGCTTTGACGAGAATGAACATTGAGGTGAGGCCTGGCCCCTCAGCCTCTGTTCTTCCCCACCTCCAGCTCTATGAGGAGGTTCGGGTGACGCTGGAAGGCTGCAGTGTGGAAGCCGACATCAACAGCTTCATCCAGGCCAAGAGTACAGGCACTGAGCCCCCAGGTAAGGCCCAGCCGCACAGGCAGCGTGGCCTCTGGGTCCATGCCTGCCTGTCCCTAGGAATCCTTGCCCAAGTTTTCTGAGCCTCAACTGCCAAGACAGGACTGGGGTTGTTCACAGATCCCTTCTGGGTGGAGGAGATGTGGCCATATCTCAGGGAAGAGCCAAGGATAGTTCAGTCCCCTAAGGCAGAGGATGAGCAGATCTTAATCCTATGTAATAAAGAGGCAATATTCAAAGTAACCCTCATGCCCTCACAAGATGGCTGCCTAACACTAGGCCAGCAGGGGGGTTAGTAGGAGATGACCAAACTCCTGAATAGCAGGCTACATGGGGCGACCAGGCCAGCAGGAGGGGTTAATGAGGGATGACGAAACAACTAACCAAGCAGGCTGCGTGGAGCAGCCAGGTCAGTGGGGGGACCATGAGGGGTGACAAGGCTGATGGGGTGGAGGCAGTTGGGGGCGACCAGACTGGTGGAAGGGCAGTAAGAGGTGACGAGGCCAGTGGGGACGGGGGGTAAGTTAGGGGCAACCAGGCCAGCAGAGGGGTCAGTTGGGGTGACCAGGCTGGCGGGGGGGGGGGGGCAGTTAGGGGCAATCAGACTGGCACACAGAGGCAGTGAGGGGCAATCAGGCTGGCAGGGGAGGGGGGAGGGGGGAGGAGTGCAGTTAGGGGTGACCAGGCAGGCAGGCAGATAAGCAATTAGGAGCCAGCAGTCCAGGATTGTGAGAGAAAAGTCCAACTGCCAGTTTGGGCCCGATTTCTGGAATTAGGCCTAAAATGGCGATCAGACATCTCCCGAAGGGTCCCGGATCAGAGAGGGTGCAGGCCTGGCTGAGGAAACACCCCCGCTGTGCACATTTCACGCACCAGACCTCTAGTAACTACAACACTCAGAAAGGGAGTGTATATGGAGAGCCTCTTCAGAGCCCCTACTCCAGCCAGTTTGGTTCCACTAAATTATGAGACTAGAAAATTCTTGGTGGCGCTCACAGTGGGGTATCTCATGGAAGTGAGAAATGCCTGTTCCTCAAATACAAGGGCAGGCCCGAGCCAGGATGGGGAATTGGGGCTCCAGTCTGATTTTCTGGATGGGGACAGGTTGGGGCATCAGGTGGTGAGGTCCTTCCTGCCCTGCCCTGGACCTCACAGCTTGCTACCTATAGCTCCAGTACTCTACCAGAACTACTATGATCGGGAAGTCACCATATCATCTGGCAGCCCTGGCATACAACCTTCCTGTGGCATGATAAAAAGGTGAGATACCCACTTTGATGCAGATGTGGGGCGGGGAAAGGTAGGGAGGGGGGAGAAGCAAGTCCAGACTCTCCTCCTTGGGTAATGTTCTGGGCGTCTAAGATAAGGTGACCAGACGTCCTGCTTTTGGTGGGACAGTCCCGATTTTTAACAATTTGTCCCTCGTCCCGCGGCGTTTTAAAAAAGACCTGATTTTTGGAAAGAATGCACAAGAAGCTAGGGAACGGCGGGAGAACGAGAAGGGAATATATGGTTTTCGGCGGCCATGTGGCTATTTAGCCAGGATATGAGTTTTATATTATTTTTGTTAATTTTATAATGTTAAAATTTAATAATAAATAATTGTTGAGAACTGATTATCGAGAACTGCTTATCAAAGTTCGCAATGGCGAAAACATTTTGTAACTGTCTCTCAGACAATACTGCATGCTAGTAAGCTAGTTAAACAAGTGATGTCATTACAAATCAGCTATTCAGATAATTTTGGTAAGTAATTTATTTATTTATTTCATAAATACATAAATTTTCTTGAATGTAGCAGACAGTACTCGTATTATTTATATTTTATAGTGGTGGCAAAAAGTCTAGCGCCGGCCTTGAAAGTGACACTTAGGATTTACTTTACAATTAAGTGTTTGAGATTTTGAAAGCCAGTTTATGTATGAAATATAATTTAACAAATTCTTGTGAAAAATTTCATGACCATTTAAAAAATGACAGCAATCTACTAAAAAAAAGTTCACTCAAATGAGAAATATGCCAAAGAATAAAATAACACTATACATATTTTTTATTTATTTGTAAATTGTACTTATGTTGAAGTTTTAAAAAATATAATACTATTTTTGCGTTCTATGAAAATTTTTGTTGCTCCATGTAGATCAAATTTTTAATTAAGAACCCCCAACCCCCTGTCAATGGTGTCCCGCTTTACCAATGTTAAAATCTGGTCACCTTAATCTAGGAGCATCAGTGGGTTTCACATGGTACCTGTGCCCAACCTGCAGCTTGAGGCTTCCATGGCTGCCTTTCTCCAGCCAACCTTGTGCAGAGAAGGCCCTGCCTTTGGGAAGTAGACAATAAAAATGGGGTGGGCCTGGGCAGGGGAAGTTGTTGATGTCACTCTCAGCCCTCTGAGGACTGCTCATTTCCAAGACCTCAGGAGCCCCATGCAGAAAACCTCCAGGAAACAGAGGTTCCTGGGAACCACTGCAGCTCAGAGCAAGGAGCACAGCACTCCTCTCTGAGAACTTCAACAAGGCAGTGACCCCAGAAAAAAAAAAAAAAAGAACATTCACAACCTCACAATGTTACCAATATCTTGGGTTATTCAGATCTCCTTGCAACCCCAATAAGGACCTGCATCCTGTCATAGGTGGTCATTTTTTTAAAAATGGATGAAAAAGCTTACCTGAGACAGTGTCACGCAAGGACAGAAATGAAACATGGCAAATGATTTTGAGAGCCTTATATAGTCCACAGGCTGAACATTCCCCATCCCGCAATAGGCAGTGTTGGGCTAATTCACTCCTTCCCTGTGCCTGGCTCAGCCCTGGACTGAACTGGAGTTATGAAGGTTCAAAAAAGAAATGGAACAAGCAAGAGGCAGATACTGGGGTTACCCCTTGAAGCCAATAGTGCTAAAGGATAAATAAGTAGAAGCTGATGCTGCATACCTGCCTCAGGAAAGGCTGCCTGGTGTAGTCAAATTTTGAAAGACTTAACTTTAATAGGCAGAGACTGGGGTGCAAAGCATTGCCAGTGAACAGGAGAAGGGATGCAAAGGTGCAGAGCAGGGACTTGACAGGGGGAGAAGTTTGGGGAGTGGAAGCCAGAGAGGCAGGTTAGCTAGACCGATGCAGATGATGATCAAAGTGGGTGAGTGTTCCAGCCTCTGAAGGATGGCTTATTGCCCATCAGAGGAAGCTGGAGCAAGGACCTGCTGGGGCCAGGTGCCGAGAGGAGGTTACAGTGTGAGGTTCTGAAAGGGTGCTGCTGGAATAAGGCCACTGGGACCACCCTTTTGGGAATGCTCCTGCCTGAGAGAAGCACCCCATAAATCACATCAGAGTCGGGAGACTGGGAGTGGCTCCACCACTAGAGCTCTGAGAGCTCCCTGCCTCATTCCCTCCCTGAAGGACCTACCTGCTCCTTCCTTGTCCTCAGATTCTCTGGGCTGCTGCATGGAAGTCCCAAGAATACACAGTCGGCAGCCTCTGCAGGTAACTGGCTGGGTGTGATGTGGGGGCTGAGGGTGAAGGAGGGAACGTTTGCATGCCCACATGGGCCTTCCAACTACTATGGGGAGAAAAAAGCTAAGCCACTCTGGGGACGCTCCATGCAGGAGGCCTCCAGGGATCAGTGTCCTATGAAAGGGGTGGGCTCCAGGCCTCACTCTGCTCTCAGCCTCCACAGACACCCTGACTCCCATCCCCAATCAGAATGAGGATGTCTACGCCGCTGTCGCAGTGCAGGAGGCACCCGGACCCCCCCTGCCAGCCCAGGGCTACAGGGTGATCTATGACTACACAGCCCAGGTGAGGCCATTGCCCTTCTCTCCTTCTCAGCAGGGCACAGGGATACCCAAGGGTGAGTTCATATGTAGGCACATGAACTGTAAGTATGCTCTGGGTGTTTGCCCTTAAGGTAGCACACAGCACTTAGGAGGAGCTATATTAGTATCTGTTGAGTAAATGTTGATGAATAGAGTACCAGGGCCTATGTCTTGAATCTGTTCACACGCACACTTGTGGTTCCCAGATACTGACATTGTATGTGTCCTTGTGTGCATCCATGTACACATGTACAATCAGATAGCAGAACTTGGGCTACCTGCAGAAAATGGTCCAAGGTTCAAGCTCTGCACCCTCATGTTAGAGCTCTGTTCTCCATGGCAGTAGGTGCCAAAAACATGGCCAGAATAAATCCCACAACTGAGCTCAGTTTGGTTTTGTGAGGTCTGTGTGAAGAGGATGGGTCAAGGAGTCACAGGGCAGCTCTGCCGAGTTCCCCACAGAGTCTGAACTGTTCCCTGCTTTGGGGTGAAGGATATAGAGACAGACCCCTTATCAATCTGGACTGAGCCCAGGCACCCACTCAGGGCTAGGTGGGCTGCATGGTAGATTACACTGATTCCCAAAACCTTGTCCCTCGCAGGGGAGATCGGCCCAGAGAAGGATTGTGTGTTTGTGAAAGAGGCAAGCAGAACTGAGGAAGCTCAAGAGAGCTCACCAACAGAGGGGAGGTTATATATGGTACCCCTTAGGCAAGGTCATGACCTGTCCCCTGACTTGCTAAGGTCACTGTGTGCCTGAAGCAGAGTGCAAAAAGGGACAGCAGGGAAGAAGCCAGGTTTGTGGGAGGCCTACAATGACAAACCAGGAGGCTGGGGTGGACAGGAGGCTGAGTCCTATGCCCCACACCCTATGTCTCCAAGGGCTGCCCCAGCCCAGAGATAGGCCTTGTTCTATAGCCCCAGGAAGATGGGCATGTTTCAGGTAACTCAGCCTACATAGGAAAAAGCTCAAATTTATGGCTTGGGGTGGGGGTTTGCCCGACCAGACACTCTCAACAGGCCCCTCCAGCTTGATGCACTTTCATTCTGTTGCCAAGAATTCTGATGAGCTGGACATCTCTGCTGGGGACATCGTGGAGGTCATCCTAGAAGGGGAGGATGGCTGGTGGACAGTGGAACAGAATGGACAGCGTGGCTTTGTACCTGGTTCCTATCTGGAGAAGCTCTGAGGAAGGGGCAACAGCCCCCACCTGGACCTGCCCTATCTGGAGCCAGCAGTATCTTCATCACTGCAAGGCTGAGTCCCCAAGACCAAGCCAGCCCCCAAACCCCATGAGTGCTGGCTGTTCCCATAGCAGTCTCTCGTACAGGGAATAAAGGAGTACATTCTTTCTCCGTCTGTAGAGGTCCATGTCTCTTTTAACCCTGCCCCGTGTCCAAGTGCTCAATTCAGAGAAGACAAAGGAGCGAGGGGAGAAGTTTAGGAGACCAGAGTTGCTCACTTCTAGTAAGGCTCAGCCAGGATTGGCTGGGGATGAAAAGGAGCCCTGGTTACAGCCCCTGGAAACTCCCAGACTGCCAAAGGGATACATTCACACTCAGGAAAATGGGAGAAGACCATGAGGATCACGGATGAGGGAGGAGGAGCAAAAAGGGGCTCAGGAGAGCTGGGATGTGGAAACGAGGCCTCCTGGGAGCAGAGGGACTAGAGCAGGGCAGTAGCAGACAGGACACAAGGAAGAGAAAATCATCAAGGTCAGGCAGATATGTGAGCAAAAGGAGGAGGCAGAAATGCCTGAACCATTCTAGGGACAAGCCAGGCTTGGTTTGGGTCAGGAAACAGTAGATGGGACCATTGGAGGTGGAAGGTCCTTGGTGGGAAATTGGGAAGGCAGGCTTAGAGGCTTAAAGTTCAAGGGATCCTTACTGTCTTCCTGACCCAGCTGGGGCCCAGGAAAGCCAGTGCTGCCTGTGTTGTTTCCTCTCAAACATGGCAATCCTGCCCAGGCAGGGGTGCAGGATGACCCAGGGTACAGAGGTGGCCATGCTTCTCTTTTGTTCTTGATGCTCCCAGGCCTTTCTTCCTTTGGACTCAGGCCCCCAAAACGTAACTTCTACTGCTGGCCAAGACCTGCCAAAGTCATGCTCCAGTCATGGAGGGTTGCATCCATGCAAAAGGCTTCAGGAATAGGTGTGTGAATAGAGCTGTGGGAACTGATAGCTCTGCAGTCCTGGGCCTCCCTGCACTAACCTGCGGGAGCCACAACACTCTACCAGCACAACAGTCAGGCAGCCCACCCCAACTCAGAGCCAGGGAGACTTTAAGGAATGGGATGGGACACATGTGGTTCTTTCTAACAAACACACCTTGAAAGACACTGTTGAGGGTGTTATTGCCCCCCATAGATCTTCTCTAGAACTGGAAGTTACTTTGCTTGTTTACTCATAAACTTCTGTGGCCTGCCCCCTACAAAAGCAAGATGAATAAAGCCTCCATCTCTTGCTTTACTCAAGGAGCTTTTGACCCGATGGAGGGACCAAACATCCCAGAAAGTTGGTGATGATACAGGATGTGTAGAGCAGTCATAAGGCTTCTGGATCCAAGGAAACAGGGAAGCTATTCCTGGAGAGGAAAGGAGGGTTCCTTTCCATTCCTGCCTGCTTCTGGTAACCCCATAGAGGGCAGGGGGAAGGTTAATGTATGTAACAGAGAAGGGAGTTTCATCAATGAAACTCCTCAGGATTTAGAATTAAAAGAAACTCATAAAGGACTAATCTGACCTACTTTGTGCTGCCCTCTCTGTCACTCCTGAAGACTGGGAACTGGGCACCACAGTTGGTTTCAACATCTCTGATGACAGGGTGCTCATGACAACCATGGAAGACTGCAGTGGACCTGTGGCTTTCCACTGGCCCTGGCTTTTCCTGGACGGCTATCCACCTGGCATCCTCATCAGGTGGACCATCTCACAGGCCCAGACAAGTTTCAGATGCCACAGGGGCAAGCTCTGTCCTAAAAAGAAGGCAATGAGGGAGCTGGTAAAGGAAGATGCTCTTATGTTTACAGCAGATGTCTATCTTTTGCCCTCATCTTCATGACTTGAGCAAAAACGTAGGTGTGATTAAACATACATGATACCTGGTACCGGAGAGGGTGGGCTTTCTTCTTTCAGGAGAAAATGTACCTTTGGATTATATCCTCTCACCCCAGTCTCAAGTGTGTGGGCAAGTCAGAAGTCTATAAAGCATTCAGACTGGGGCAAGGTATTATAGATGTGAAAAGGCATAGGCTGTCCCATGGTAGGATCCCAGAAGCAGGACCAGGCTAGTTTTCTGCTAGTGTCACTTACCACTGCTTCCACTGGAGGGTGTGTACCAGACAGGGTGGGAAAGGCTGAAACAAAATCATAGTGAAGCTTAAATCCTTCCTGAAATGTCATTTCATTCATAAACCACATCCTGAAAGAACTGATCAAATGTCCACACCTGTCCCTGATCCATATGAGGTTTTTACAAAGGGATATTTGGAGAGAAAAAAAAATGTAATCTTAATGTTTGGTTTTATACCTCCCTGGAGAGAGAGAAAGAATTCAGTGAATAAAGTAGCCCAGGTACAAGACTTTGGCCTAGATATTTATCATATCAGAAGTGATGGGCAGTTGGTGTTTCATAATAGTCTGCAATTCATTCAGGCAATCAAAGAATTTATACCAGGGGAAAAACACACACACACACACACACACACACACACACACACACACACACTGCTTCTACAGCTTTCTCCATTCTCTCTATGCACCAAGTCACAAGCTCAGCTGCTGGGAAGCAATCGCATGGACAACGTTCCCAATAGAGAAGATAGTGCCAGATAAAGGGGGAGCTGGTCTCTATGACTGGATGCATAAATAATTGAAGCCCTCTTCCTGATAGAGGGCTGCTCAAAGACAGAATGTAGCCGGGGAAAGCATTGTCTCTGAAGTCAGAACATTAGAATCTGAATCCATGCTCATGCTTCTTTGCATATCTGCATTGAAGATTCCTGCAAAAGGTCTTCCTGCTCTGCTCCCCCCAACCCCACCTGCTTCCCTTCCTTCTCCCCCATCCTGCCTGCTTCTCTTCCTTCTCCACACCCTGCTTGCTTGCTTCTCTGCAGCTTTGCTCCCTTCTGCAGGGCTGGGCTTCTTTCTACTGCTGTCTTGATGTGCAAATTAACCTCCATTTTGGTTGGATCATTTACATACTTGCCCTGATTGGCTGGTGGATGTGGCTTTGGCAGAGCAAAGGTGCAGTCAATTTGCATATTACTCTTTTTTTGGGTAGGACTAGAGGCTTGGTGCACAAGATTTGTGCACTCAGGGGAGTCCTTCAGCCCAGCCTGTACCCTCTCATGGTCCAAGAACTCTAGGGGAATGTCATACTGGCAGCTTAGAGTGCGGGCCTAAGCCACAGTAGGACATCCTTAGAGGATCCTGGCACTGCCACTGCACTTGCCAGCCATGAGCCTGGCTTCTGATGGAGTGACGCTTTCCCTGTGGGAACACACTGACCACAAGGGGACAGCTCCTGCATTGAGCGTCTGCAGCCTAGTGGTCAATGTGCATCATAGCTACCAGTCATTCTGCCTTTCGGTCGATTTGCATATTACCTTTTTATAATATAGGATAATCTGCAAATAAGGGGATTGGTGCTGTTCAGTGTTGTTAGGGATCAATTGTAGTCTGGAAGGATATATACTACATGTAAACATGCTTACCTGTGGGTATTTTTTTCTTTATAGATATTTGAATAGTTTTCATTTTTAAAGTAGTACTAGAAGCCCAAAGCACGAAATTCATACAAGGGATTCAGCTCTCACAGCTCCGGCTGCTTCACCGTCCCTCACAGCCCTGGCCATTCCTTGCAGCTCCTCATGGCCTCGGCCATCCATCGAAGCCCCTCACGGCTTCAGCCAGGCCTTGTTGCCCTGGCTTCATCTGGAAAGTCATCCAGACGGTCATTCTGCTGTTTGGTCTAATTTGCATATTAGTTCTTTTCATGTAGGATTATTCTTGTTAAAAAATTATAGATCAAAGACACTACAGTAGTAATAAGTACAGCTAGTATTAGGGACCAGGGCTCCTCAGAGAGACACTAATTCCAGGACTGGGGCCCAGTACTCACAAGATGAGCCTGAAACATCTTGTTATGACAAAAATTACAGAAATGTTTAAAAAAAAAAAAAATGGTTGGAACAAAAGAGGTGACTTGAAGAGACTCCTGCTGGCCAAATCTGAAACTATCTGAGAACCAAAAGCAAAGCAAAGCAAGAGAAGAAAATATTGAATTATAAACCATCAGTCCATAATGAATATCCTATATAATAAAGAGGTGATATTCAAATTAACCCTCATAAGATGGCTGCCTACAACCAGGCCAGCAGGAGAATTAGTGAGGGACCACCAAACAACTGAACAAGCAGGCTATGTGGTGCAACCAGGCCAGCAGGCAGGGAAGTTGAGGGCAACTGGGCCAGCAGTGGGGGCCAGTAAGGGGTGACCAGACTGGCAGAGGGGCAGTTAGGGGTGACCAGGCCAGCAGGGGCAATTAGGCTGGCAGGGGTGAAGTGAGGGGTGACTAGGCTGGCAGGGGCAGCAGTTAGGGGTGACCAAGCAGGCAAGGTGGGGCAGTTAGAGCCAACCAGGCTGGCAAAGAGGACAGTTGGGGGCAACCACGATGGCAGGCAGGGCAGTAAGGGGTGACCAGGCTGGCAGTGGGGCTGTTAGGGGCAACCAGTTCAGCAGAGGGGGGCAGTTGGGGGTGAACAGGCTGACAGGGGGGCACTAAGGGTGACCAGGCTGGCAATTGGTGCAGTTGGGAGCAAACAGGCCAGTAGGGGCAGCAGTTGGGGGCAACCAAGCCAGCAGAGGGGGGCAGGTAGGGCCAACCAGGCTGGCAAAGAGGGCAGTTGGGGGCAACCATGATGGCAGGCAGGGCAGTAAGGGGTGACCAGGCTGGCAGGGTGGCTGTTAGGGGCAACCAGTTCAGCAGAGGGTGGCAGTTAGGGGCAACCAGGCTGGCAGGGGGCAATAAGGGGTGACCAGGCTGGGGGGTGCAGTTGGGAGCAAACAAGCCAGTGGGGGAGGGGGGACAATTAGGCTAGCAGGAGGGCACTAAGGGTTACCAGGCTGGCCAGGGCAGCAGTTGGGGGTGACAAGCCCAGCAGGGATGGGACGCTTAGGGGCAACCAGGG